GTAGTCAGTACATACTGTACACCATATTCTCTTCTAAATATATAACATATATTAATTCACTCAATTCTCCAAACCATTCTATTATCCTATGGTTTTGTACTTTTTTTAGAGAGGCAGAAGCTGAAGGCCAGAGATTCAGTAATTTCCCAAAGGACACAGCTGGTAAGAAGTGGGGCCAAGGTTGAGCCCCAGGAGATCTGGCTGCACAGATGGTGTTCATAGTCACTTTACTGCCTCCCATTTATGTATATTTGCCCCTTATGACACCTAATAAATAATAACTAATCTTAATTTTCATTAAGTACTTCTGGGAATGCAGGGATTCCTTCTGTGCTCCAATAATTGATGAACAGATTGATTTCTTGAAAAGCCTAGAGAACTCTAACAAAATGTATTAGGTTATAGTGTCTTTGAATGTAGTACATTTGTGCATATATTAGTTAGTTAACCAAGAATAAAGAAGACTGAAAATATACTGACCAGTCTCCACCATCACAAGCAATTAAAGGAATGGCTCTTGTTGTAGGAGACAGAAAGAATCACCTATCTATGAAGCCTCTGGCACAGCTCACAGAAAGGGGATGTGGAATTGGCTACCTGAGAATATTAAGATGCAATATTTTATCTACTAGTAAAAAGACTTAGTGTCAGATGTCGTTAGGGTATACTCAGAGAAAGAGTGATTTCTTCCACATCAACTGTGTTCCTTCTCTTTCATATTCAATGTAGTCAACTTAGAGTGAAGACAATACATTTCCAATTTGCTGATGGTAATGCAAGCATTATCCTCCATGTTTCTTACATTATGGCAGGGGGGAATCAGATAAGACTAAGGGTTGACTACCCTACGGATCTGAATTTCCAAAGCTGGAGGCCCTGGTTTCTCTAGATAAAAGCCAGTCGTCAATGATCCTATCAATACGTTGAGCCAGTCTTTGGGCAAAGAGCTGGTTTCCCAGAAGGCAGGTGCCAGCTCCTCTGATCCCTGAATGACCTCAGCTTGCATCAGCTTTTACCAATCCCACTTCAGCTGGATTTGAGATAAGTTTTAACTAATAAGTAATATAAGTAATATGCTTGTATGCCTTGGTATATCTCAATAAAAAGAAATCTCTTTTGTTTGTCCTAGAAGATGCACTTTCAACCAATACTATCTAATAAAAGAGAAACATGGTAATTGGCGTACAACCACTACACTTCCCATTGGCTAATCAGCGAGATATGCAAATTAACTGCCAGCCAAGATGGTGGCCGGCAGCCAGGCAGCTTGAAACTAACATGAGGCTTGCTTGCTTCAGTGACAGAGGACTCCAATGTTCCCCACCTGCCGCTGCAGGCCTCTGAGCTGGCAGTTTGAAACATAGTTACAAAAATAGAAGCTAAACAAAACCCCAGAAACCAGCTTTCAGCTAGCCAGGATCTCAGACCTGGAGTTGATACAGAGTTTCGATTGTAGAACCTAAACAAACCAGATACCTGCTTTCAGGAGTGGAGGCCTAAGAGCTGGAGCCTCAGAGCTAAAGCTGGCTCAGAATAAAAAAAAAAAAAAAAAAAAAAAAAAAAAAAGGAGCAGTTGGGAGCTTCAGTCCCAGCCTGAAAACAGCCCTCAGCCCCTCACCCAGACTGGCCAGGCACCCCAGTGGGGACCCCCACCCTGATCCGGGACACCGTTCAGGGCAAACCAGCCAGCCCCCACCTGTGCACCAGGCCTCTATTCTATATAGTAAAAGGGTAATATGCCTCCCAGCACCGGGATCAGCGGAGCCTTGAGGTCTCCCGGCACCAGGATCAGCATGACAGGGGGCAGCGCACAAACCCCCTGATCGCCCTGTGGCTCTGTGTGTGACAGGGGGCGGGGCCACAACCTCCCTCTCTGCCCTGCTCTGTTCCTGACAGGGGAAGGCGCCCCAACCCCCTGATCGGCCCTGCTTTGTGCCTGATAGGGGGGAGCTCCCCAACCTCCTGATCGCCCTGTGGCTCTGTGTGTGACAGAGTGCAGCGCCCCAACCCCCCCACCCCACGGGCCCTGTTCTGTGTGTGACGGGGTAGAGCCATAACCTCCCCATCGGCCCTGCCCTGAGTGTGAGAGTGGCGGCGCCCCAACCCCCTGATCGGCCCTGCTCTGTGTGTGACGGGGTAGAGCCAAAGCCTCCCCATCGGCCCTGCCCTGAGTGTGAGAGTGGCGGCGCCCCAACCCCCTGATCGGCCCTGCTCTGTGGGTGATAGAGGGCGGCGCCCCAACCCCCTGATGGGCCCTGCTCTGTGCGTGACAGGGGGTGGCACTGCAACCTCCCCATCGACCCTGCCTTGAGCGTGACGGGGCGGTGCCCCAACCCCCCAATCGGCCCTACCCTGAGCATGACTGAGGGTGGCATCGCAACCTCCCAATCCGCCCTGCTCTGTGCATGACAGGGGCGGCGCCCCAATTCCCCAATAGGCCCTGCTCTGAGCCCGACCAGGGGCTGCACCTAGGGATTGGGCCTGCCCTCTGCCACCCGGGAGCAGGCCTAAGCCAGCAGGTCGTTATCTCCCGAAGGGTCCCAGACTGCGAGAGGGCACAGGCCGGGCTGAGGGACCTCCTCTCCCCACCCTGACTGCACAAATTTTTGTGCACCGGGCCTCTAGTATATATAAAAGCCTCAGTGACCGAACAACCAGATGACCGGCTGGTAGCTATGATGTACACTGATCACCAGGGGGCAGATGCTCAATGCAGGAGCTGCCTGCCCCCTGGTGGTTAGTGCACTCCCACAGCGGGAGCACCACCAGCCAGAAGCCAGGCTCACGACTGGTGAGCGCAGCTGCAGCTGAGAAAGCCTCTCCTGCCTCTGCAGCAGCGCTACCGAGCAGCAGCGGTGGTGGCAGCAGCAGGCAGAGTGCGGCTGGGATGAGCATGAGCCGTGCCTGGCCCCAGCTTGGGCTCCTCCCCAACCTCTTGCCACTTCCTACACTGCTACACCCTTTGGGGGATGTCGGACTGCCACAGGGGATCGTGCCCAAACTGGCACTCCGACATCCCCTAGGGGTCCCAGATTGCGAGAGGGTGCAGTCCAGGCTGAGGGACCCCACTGGTGCACGAATCTGTGCACTGAACCTCTAGTATATTCTATTTATTAGTCTTTTTGAGGATAAGCCAGGTTTACAGTGTTTCATTTTATTTCCTCACCACAAATGTATGAACAAGCACCCTTTTGCTAGTCTTTCCTCTGAGGCGGGTCTGGATATTGACTGGGAGAGGCTGTTATTTATTAGTGAGAGATCTAATAAGAGTGTATTTGGAGAAATAGAACTTAGTAGAAGGCAAGAACATTTATTTCAACAGGATCATCATCAAGCCTGAGGTGGAATCATCTAGAAAGTGGTTCTCAACCTTCTGGCCCTTTAAATACAGTTCCTCATGTTGTGACCCAACCATAAAATTACTTTCGTTGCTACTTCATAACTGTAATGTTGCTACTGTTATGAATCGTCATGTAAATATCTGACATGCAGGATGGTCTTAGGCGACCCCTGTGAAAGTTTGACCACCAAAGGGGTCGCGACCCACAGGTTGAGAACCGATGATCTAGAAGAAGTGAAGGTCTACATAATTCCTTTAGAAGGAGGCTAAGCCTACCTTTTGGCTATTCTGATATCATCAAAGTTATCATTGGATTTTCCATTTTTGTCATGAAAAGCATCTTCCTCTTGGCAAACTATTTGCTTCCAGTGAATTAGAGTTATGGGTTACTCTGAATAAATTATAACCTGCAAGAGATACTAGTTGATAATTCATACTCTCCTGGGAAATATTGAAGTAAAGTTTCTACTGGCAATAATGTCGCATACCTTATTATGGTTACATAACTTTAACTCTTAAAAGTTTTAATTTTTAGACTGTAAAGGATGTTTTCTTTTAGAATGTGTATAGAAAATTACTTTTTAAAAGAAAAATGAAAGTTAGTTTTTTTCTTCTGTAGTCATGAAAACCTATTAAGGTAAAAATTTTTCCAAGTACAGTGATATTTTTAAAAAAATGTAATGACAATAAAACTCTCTTTTGCAAATATATATATGTATATATATATATATATATACAGTGTTCAGCCTATTTAAAATAGCCATAAAAACAAGTTAAGTGACTTTCCAGGCCTACAACTACAGAGGTTGAATTTTTAAATTAATTTTAATAGAGGTCTATCAGAAATGTCTTTGTAGGTTAAATCTCAGAAGTATGTAAAAGTCATCTATGGGTATTTGTGTTATTAATGATAATCATAAAATAGTAAAGCTTTGTGCTACTCATCAGTCAATATAGACCGTGGCATTGAGAGTTAAAGCATTTAACTCATTGTTTTCAGTTAGGGCACCTTTGGATATTTTTCTCCAATGTGGCTCCAAACCATGGAATTGGGCCATTATTTTCGTCTCTGTCACTATGACCAGCCAGCACACCTGGACTCAGCTCTAGGAGCTAGTTGGTGTGCCAGCTGATTGTTATGATTTTAGTTTGGGGTTTCCATTTGTTTCTTTGTTGGTAAAATGTACCACCCTATATTATCAGTGATCTAATGAACAACTGGCCACTGTTAGGGTATCATATACTGTCCCTATGGATTACAAACACCTGAAATATATACCTGGTATTTTGCTATTTGTTTAGTGTATTGTGGATATGATACTGCGTTGTGGTCTTCTTTCTGGTTATACACTGATTGCATTGTCTTTTTGTTTAAAAGATTTTGAGTTTGCTTATGCCTTCTATTTTCTTATTAAAGAACACTTGTACTTTTGTCTATAAATATATTCTTGATAACAGCAGCTTCTCTATTCATTGTGTATTGCATATTGGGAAAAGTGTATGGATAAGTCATGCATGTAGGAAGAGGTGCGTCTGGCCATCCCTGCCCCAGAGCTGACTCCTTCAACTTGGTGGACAAACTGCTGGAGAAGAGAAGAGAAACCACCGTGAAACCCCCGTTCCTTCCTCTAACTTTCTTTTCTTCCTTTTCTCTTGGCAGGAACTTTTTACCCCTGAATGCAAGTTTAAAGAATCTGTTTTTGAAAACTATTATGTAATCTACTCGTCCATGCTGTACAGACAACAAGAATCTGGTAGAGCCTGGTTTTTGGGTTTGAATAAAGAAGGGCAAGCTATGAAAGGAAACAGAGTAAAGAAAACGAAACCAGCAGCTCATTTTCTACCCAAGCCATTGGAAGGTGCGTGTTCTGTGTGTCTTATACTTATCAGATTTAGTACACATTTATTCTTCACATTGATAGCTCTGCTGTGGCCACAGGAACCCTTGGGAAATTCTCTTTATTTTGACTTGTATGGTGGTTGCACAGGTGTCTACGTAAGTTGTAGATTTAAGAGTTGTACACTTTATTGTGTATAGGTATATCTGTGTCTGTATGTGTATGTAGATACATATATACACATATTGATAGAATGTATACACATACATAATCCATTAATTTAAAAAATTCCAGCAAAACCCTATCTCTGATACTTCTAAAGTCTCAAATCCTCACTGTCCCAACCTCTCTGTCCCTAGAAAATTTTAATTAACTTTAACATTTTAAAAATTTGTAATAACATTACAAGTCTGTGACTGTGATAATAGGCATATTAGAAAAACTTAGTTTTGAGTATTACAGAATAAATACACTTGCCCATTTTTATGTTATCTAGATTAAAGTAAAACCATATTCTTGTGAATTAATTATTATAAATACAGAAAATGAAGAGTCAATAACTTGTCCTTTAAAGAACTTATTGATTTACATATCTTCCTTCCAAGCTGCATAATTGTTTAGTATCCTTAGTTGTGGTGTTACCTTCTTTTACATTCTCCTGTAAACAGTGAAGGCATTTACTTTTATCAGATTCTCAGAGGTAAGCTATAAACTTTTGTTAATTAATCAGAAATATCTGCACCTTTTTCATCAAGGGTTCTGCCAGAAGTGTCATTTATTTTTATCTATATAAATTTATTTGAGAACTACAAAAAATTGATACCGAGGCTTTTCACTAGTGTTTTCTATTTAAATACTTTTGTTTACTTTTCACAGAAAATTAGATCTACAATAACTAAATAAACGCTTTAAACTAGTTTAGAAGGTTTGATTTTCTGTTTATTTTTTATTCCTACAGGAAAGCCTTAATCATAAAGAAAAAAATTCACATTGGTTTTATAATCTATATTCTTTCCATAGGAATAAGATAATTTGAAATATTGAAAGTTAAATATTCATTATATGTCAGTGTATAATTAGCTTTCAGTTTGCCTAAGTTTGGAAAACTTCTCTTGTTGATTAATACCATCTTTATAATTTCGGTGATGTTGACTTCCTGTCACCCTTAACTAAATTTGCCTCGAGAACAAGTCATTAAAACCCAAATGATTAACCAGCAGGGCCTATCTAGGAAAAGAAAAATTGTTCCAGAGTCTGAAAAATTAGTAAATTATTCTCATTACTAGTATATGATAAATCATAGGACAAATTAGAGGGTAAATAAGGAATTAGAGGGTTTCTCTGTTGTTCTAAAATAACATCTCTATGATTTGCTTCAATCTTTTATTTTTAAAATATTTTTATTGATTTCAGAGGGGAAAGGAGAGGGAGAGAGAGACAGAAACATTAATGATGAGAGAGAATCATTGATTGGCTGCCTCCTGCATGACCCCCACTGGGGATGGACCTGCAACCTGGCCTTGAGCCCTGATGGTGAATCAAACCATGACCTCCAGGTTCATAGTTCAAGCCCAACCACTGAGCCACACTGGCAGGTTTGCTTTATTCTTTTAAATGAATTTTGAAACCATCAGACTTACCAATATTTAAAAGCAAGTGAAAAATTTAAAGACTGTCAATGGAAGCTCTAAAGAAATTTTTATTTGTTCACTTTCTCGATTTGTCTCTTTATGTTAACTTTTTAATATGGACAGTTAAGAATTGACTAAATTTCTAAAAATTTGTTTCTTAGCTGCATACATGTAATGAAAACCAAAAAAGTCCCTTATGTTTCTCTTACCTGAAGCAAACTCTAGAAACCAGATCTTTTGTATAACCAACAAGAAATATCTTGAGAGTCTAAAGGTGTGGTGTAATAATATCACTTGTATTTCAGTCACACACTGAACTATTGTTGTGTGCATGTGTTGTTTATATGTATATATGAAGAAGAGAGAAATAGTATTTTCAAATAATTAGCAGATAGAAGTACTCTAAAATAAACAAGGGTGTATTGGAGTGACAGAGGTTATCACACAGTGCAGTTAATAGAGGAAATTAATTTCAAGCTTTCAAGACCCATACAGCATATAAATTATATCATTGGAATGTTAGGACAAATTAGCTACTTAATTAGTCATTACTGCTCTGGAGAATTCATATCTCTTATACAGTTTCATACTAGACAATCAAGGTTAATGCTCTGAGCTGTTGTCTCCTAACTGAATTGGTAAGCAATTGGAAAGTGCTTCAAGGACTGTGGATGAATCCCCTTTACCAACTTGCTGAGTCATTTAATATAGGTCTGATGTACACCAGCACTTTGAAATATGTGTGCTACCAAAAAATCACATGATTCATTGGTGCAAAAGGTAAAATTCTACCACCTTGAACATGGAGAATGTATGTGGTAGTTCTTCCTAACTAAACATAAGGTCTCTTCATAAAGTACAGTAAGACCACACTTAATGTTATCTATAAGTTTTTGGAAACTGAAATTTTAAGCAAAACGTGTTTAATGAAACCAATTTTAAGATAATCGGTATAAACAAGAGTTAAGTTCCCACTGCATATTTCTGGTCACAAAAATATCACCAAACTTCTAAATAAATACCCATTACACTTTTAAGATTAAACAATGAAATAAATGTGAGCTATACATACATTTAAGAAAGATGAATAAAAACAAGAACATTCTTTTCCAACCCACTTATTCCAGTTCAGGGTCAAGGATGGCGGAGCCTATCCCTGCAGCTCAGTGCCCAAGGTGGGACCCAGTCCTTCATCACAGGAGTCCTCACACCCACCTCCACTCCCTCAGACTGGGATGTGTAGCCACGCCAGCCCACCTCATGTGCACCTCTTTGGGATGCAGGAGGAACCGGAGTCCCCAGAGAAAACCCACACAGGCATGGGGAGAATGTGCACACTCCACACAGATAGTAGTCCCAGCTGGGAATCAATTTTTTCCCATCAACATTATAATGAAATGAACTGGAACCAAATTACATTATTCTAGGACCTGCTGCATCATAAACTCTCAAAAGCCAAAAAAAGCAGGCTGGGCGGATCTAATACACTGTTTCTGATGGCAGATGATTTTAACTCACCTAGTTTTCCCCAAGAATCAGTCGTTCTTAAATATTTCCCCCAGGATTCCTGATAATCATTTTCCAAAAAGCCACATGAACTCTTGTGATTAACTGTGTGGCCAGACACTATTCAGGCAATTTCTCAGAGCTTACCAGATGTCAGTCCCACTTGCTCTCTTACCATTTTGTGCTTCTGCCTTGCATGACATCACTTATTAGATGTTTAATAATATATCAGAAAATGAGGCATAAAAATAGAAAATGCCACGCAGTTGCCTTCAGTTATTTAAGGGTCTCTTTTCATTATCCCGAGAGAGAAAATATAAACAATGACCTTTGAAGGCCCTGATTAGGGAAAGTGAGTTCTTTGTTCTTGCTTTGTATAGCTTGGATGTAGACACTAGTGTGACTATGTTGCTTTTGAACCACTTGAGAGAAAAGTAACTTAATGATCTAGTGCAGTGATGGCGAACCTATGACACGCGTGTCAGAGGTGACACGCGAACTCATTTTTTTGATTGATTTTTCTTTGTTAAATGGCATTTAAATATCTAAACTAAATATCAAAAATATAAATCTTTGTTTTACTATGGTTGCAAATATCAAAAAATTTCTATGTGTGACACGGCACCAGAGTTAAGTTAGGGTTTTTCAAAATGCTGACACGCCGAGCTCAAAAGGTTTGCCATCACTGATCTAGGGTGTAAACACTTGACAAGATGAATAGGAATGAGTGGTTCAAGTGTTGACAGTGTGCAGTGTGAGGGAAGTTTGAGTTTTCCTTGCTATGCAAAGAGAATTAGATTTAAGCTTGCCATTCTCCTACTGTACATCGTGTGTGTGTGTGTGTGTGTGTGTGTGTGTGTGTGTGTGTTTCATATCTTAGGCCCTCAAAGAGGCTATGTCTCCCATTTAAACCTTCTTTCCTGGACACACATCCATGCACACCTATGTACATGTTTTAGTTATATAAGCCAGAGAATGTGAAGGTAGTAATATCTTCTATTTGGGGGCGGGAAATGACTGCTTTAAAACAGGTATCCCTCCCACTGGCATTGCTTTGCTTCAGGGAAACAAGGACAGGGCAGACTGCTGTGGTGTGTGCGTGTACTGATTCTTGAACTGAACTTGGTAACACTTCCTTTTCCTCTTTTCTTCGTGCCCTCCTTCCTGTCATTAGTTGCCATGTACCGAGAACCGTCTTTGCATGACGTTGGAGAAACGGTCCCGAAGGCTGGGGTGACGCCAAGTAAAAGCACAAGTGCGTCTGCAATAATGAATGGAGGCAAACCAGTCAACAAAAGTAAGACGACATAGCCAGACCCTCACAGGTGTTGTGACTTACTGGTCCCGAGCACAGCTGAGTGATTTATCCTTGCCAGACATTTCTGCTCCCATGGCCGAGGAGCAGGTGGAAGTAAGCGGATGCTTGCTCGCTGCTGTCTCGAACTTCTTGGTTGCAAGAGGATAAATCTCCACCTGTTGCGCCTCCTACAACAAGAAGACACCTGGACAACCAGCTAAACTCAGACCATGGAATGCCCTACCAGATATGGAATGCCTTTTTAATATCTTTTCTGTGACTGTGACACTTCATGTGAATGACATACTTCACAAGTACACTCGATACCTTGCCTGCTGACAGCTACCCATAATCCTTTTTGAGTCCTGTTTCAGCAAAATCCATGTGTTTAAGTTCACTTTTGTAGCACACAAATACTATTGAGTAATTTCTAGTTAGAAGCTGTAAACCTGTGCTATTATGGATTTCTCTTCTTCCCGTTTTTACAGGGCTGCTCGCTCCACTGTCCGTGACCTTTTGCAGGGATTGTGCTCCTCCAAATCTTACACGTTGCAGTTGGCTTAGTTCGGAGAGCGATCAGGGAATCAGGAAGCCTTCTAAACCTATTATTACAAAATGCATCATAAAGATTAAGAGTGTTGTCTCTGGCTCACACTATCAATTAAACACACATATACGCTCTGTTCAGTGGCAGGTACTGTGCTCCTGAGGTCGGCGTTGCCGGGGTGAGAAGTGGGTCAAACACAGTCCGTGGGAAGTTCTCTCCGATATGTGTTTGACACCCCCCTCTAGTTTCTTTGTGTGTGTGTGTGTGTGTGTGTTTTATACATATCACAAGCTTACTGGTAATGGTAACATTTGCCTTGCCCAGCGAGCAAGACCCACTGGTTTTTGAGAAAGTGGGTCCAAAGAACTCAGTAGGCCTTGTAGGCCTGATTAAGGTTCATTTTTTTTCATCTACTAATCCTCATTATTTGGAAAAAGAGAAAAAAAACACACAATAATTACAACCTACAAGAGTGCGCTACCTAAATCCATTTCAGATATAATCCTTCCTATTTTTAATGAACCAAACTTATTGCCATCCCGGGTTTTGGCTGCGTTCCACTCATACTCAGCAGAGCATGGGCAAGGCGGCTGTTGTGTTCTTTTCTGAAGCAGCAAAGCAAACCTTAGTTATAACTTAGACTTTAATATTTTTGGTGTTTAATGACACGTTTTTAAACTGGACACATTAGGAAATAATATTTTTTTTTTTAGCTCAGCATGCTGAGTCAGGTACTGTGTATTTCACCAGTCCATACCTCTAACTCAGCTTCTTGGGGCCCAAGTTGCCCAAGGGCCGGGAGAGAGGGGTGCCTTGCCACGATCTCAGAATGCAGTCTGTTGAATTGTTCTAGATCACATTAAAGGCAAACCAACACGTTCAAACATCAGGTTTTCGGTCCGTTCAACCAATTTGCTTTTGTTTTATTTGCTTTCTTAATTTCCTTTTAAATAACTCTGAGCTTAGGGAAGACAACTACCAAGAAAGGCCGCGAATATTGTCTACACAGTGAAGAAACTACGCAAAATGTTCAATATTGGATATAAAGAGTTTCAAAATGTTTAATACTAAACTGTTTGGAAATATATTTGTTAACTCTGTGTATACTTAATAAAATTCAATGTTTTGTTCTTGGAAGAGTTAATTGAGACCAAACTGAACCTCATTTATAGAAAACTATATGTGGGATCATTATCCTGGCCTCTTGTTATTATTTCCATGTGGGAGGATGACCCAGTCGCCATTTACCCACATTTGCACTGTATTTACTGGGAAATTATTTTGTCACTGCTTTTCTAAGTCTCCATGACAGCCCTTGCCCAGCATTTTAAAATATTGTCCTGCTTAGCTTATTAAAGATTTAGTATAAATTTAACTGTTTATGCTTATTTCATTTTCATATCGGATTCCATTTTAATAAAATAAAAAGTTAGCATAATGTTTGAGTAGATTTATTGTTGATTATGCTAAAATACAAATACAAAAAAAAATGGTTCCTTAGACCATTCTTGATTTCTTGTTACACCATTTTAATGCCTATTTTTTAACAGGATAAGTTAAAAGATATTAGATGAATTTCATTAACTAATTATTTAGGGAATACATATAATTCATAACATGTGGCAAACTATGAGTAATTTAACTTAAAATTCCAATTAGATGGGCTTACCCTACCCCACCCCACCCCAACACACACATCAAGCAACCCCTCCAATTTGCTTTTGGTAATCAGACCTCATTTGATGGTTTCATTTCCCCTGCAAGCCTGTGTAATGGTTAAAATTAAGACAATATTTATTTTCTAAATAACTGAGATTTATGTACACACCCGTTTTGTTTTTTATATGAGTTGTCTATATGGGCCTTTATCCCTATGAATGGATGTCAAAATACTTTCTTCCAAAATATGTTTAGACATATTGCAGAGGGGGTCTTTGTTATTTGTAAATTAGTCTGATCACTTTCTTTGTGTCTGGTCTCATCTGTTGCACGGGACAAGGGCAGCACGGATGGACTGCATGTAATAGGGCCTGGATATCAAGAACTGTTAGTATGTATTTCTCAATTTACATACAGAGTGTGTCTGCTTTGTACAGTTTCTGTGTTTAATATCATTTGTTATATTCACCAATACAACACACTGAATAAAATATTTATAAGAAGGCATATTATAAAACATCAAACAACTTTATGTAATGAAATGGCATTGCATCACCCACAAATATAGACATGTCATGTAAATAAGTTGGTAAACTCAATTTCCCCCTTTACCGTGCCAAAGAAAATTTTAGCTCTTTGATGATACCTCTCTCGCTATTTTTTCTGGGATAAGACCCTCTTCTTCCCCCTCAAAATCAAGTTTGATGTTATTAAGTAAGTGCAATCTGTCACCATTGATGTTCTGTATAGTAAATCTGATGGAATTCATTTGTATTTAGAGACCGTGTGTTTTGTACCTACATGTATGTATGTTGATTGTATCAAGTCTAATATCTCATCCATTTGCATGCATATCTGGTCTGGGAGGGTTATTTCTACTGATTTGTTATGTTAGCTGATTGCTTCACCCATCCCTCAGCAATGCTTAATGTTTAATGGTTTTGGTACTTCAAGTGACACCATTTTTATTTTCTTATGTTTGCTTTCTAAAATGTTTTGCTAAAACGTTACTTGGGAAAATTATAGAATAGATGCAAATGGTCCACCCTCTGTAGAGAGTAAGTTGAAACTAAGCATGATTTCATTATAAATCCTAGAGAATTTAGAAATTCTTGCTTTACTTGTTAGGTTGCACTGAGTGTTTTGGGGAAGGGGGTGACTTCAGGAGACCTACAATGGGCCCATAAAATTCCTGCCACAATCCTTCTAATTGCCTCTTTTTTCTAAATTTTTTTTATTGATTTCAGACAAGAAGGGAGAGGGAGAGACAAAAACATTAATGATGAGAGAGAATCACCAATCTGGTGCCTCCCCTACACGCCCCACACTGGGGATTGAACCCACAACCGAGGCACATGCCTTGACCAGGAATCAAACCACAACCTCCCGGTTCACAGGTCAACACCCAACCACTGAGCCACACTGGCCTGGCCTAATTGCCTCTTGAAGAGTAAGCACAGTTTCTTTATCACATCTGGCTAGTTGCTTAATTAGTACCTAAAGCACTAAAACAGTCAAATGTTTTTCAGGATGACCAATATCAGATTAGGTTCTCTTTAAAAAAAACAAAACAAAACATGTTAAATATGTATTGAGCATTAGCTATGTATCACTTCATTTACAGTTTTCTCCTAAATATTAAATCAGAGAATTAACATTTCAAAGGGAGATCAGGTTGATTCAAACTCTAATTTAGAAGTGAAAATATTTGAAATTTATTTTTAATTTCATTTCAGAACAAGACTATATTTGGAGAAAGCGATTCAGCTAAATGTAGGCATATCAAAATCCAGATATGAATTGGGTTACTTTGGAGAAAATACATTTCATAGCTTAAGTTCCTTAGCTTACGAGGTGGTACATAGAACCTGTTGATGCTTGAATACTGAACTGGGTTTCAAAGTTTTGATAGAGTCTGAAAACAAAAGCTGAATTATGGTTTTTTCCTGGTTTTTCTATACTATTCAGTCTAATCCTGATGTCTGCTGGCAGAGACTGCATTTGCATCTGGGATGGTGTGGTCATTTCTTTCAATGTGTTGAAGGAATCTAAATTAGCTCAAGGAGTCTTGGGAGAAATAGGGTATAATGATTCTCTTCTTAGGTCTTAAGACCTTAGTCGAATTCTATGGAGAAGTCCCTCTTAGGATTTCTCAGTGATGGTTTGCAAAGCAAGCACGGTTGTGGCCAACATCACTTATTGTATCATTCTCAATTCACATTAATCTCACTGTAACTTGGGACAAACTTGAACCGGCCAATGAGATTGGCACATTTTCCCTCCTATTACAAATTTACTCTGGCCTTGGCATTTTTTAAAGAGGGAGTTTCTATCTTAGTAATGGAATCAAAAGTCAAAGTACAAAATCACATTTAAGAAGGGTAGAATGTAGGTCTTTATATGTAACTATGTTTAACTTTTTCCGATTTAAACATATAAATTAAATTCTTAATAGATCTATTGATGTTTGCAAGCTGGAGTCAAACATCACACATACACATGCACAGGAGAAATATGAAAAATTTGGTTCAATAATTTTTAACTAAAGGAACCCAGAATATAGCTGACTGCAATATATTTTCATTGTCAAAAATTTTGGACAAATCCCATTCTGAACTTTATAATTAACATTTCTCCATATCTAAACTTTTTCTTTAAAAACATAAATGCTGAGCACTCTTTTCTTATATTAATTTTTTAAAAGAGAAACACTTTTGCTGTAGTTGCTAATGAAAAGGGATAACAAATATAGATAATTACAAGAAAAATAAGACACACCTGGGGTTATGTGAGGAAACAGGAGATTAACGGCAGTTCCATCAAAGCACAGGTTGATCTTTTATTCCTCAGCTGTGAGCCAAACCCAGCTTACAATTGGCTTTTGTATGGCGCAGGAGCTCAGAATGAGTTTTTTTCTTTATACAGTTTTAAACACAAACAAAGGAGTATATGCGAAAGAGATGTATGTGGCCCACAAAGTCTACAATGTTTACTATCTGGTCCTTTCCACTGAAAGCAGAGCTCTGCAGTAAGGACTACAGATGTCACTGCGCTGTGATAATGTAGTGAATGCCCATGGGTCCATCATCAAATCAGTCAGCATTGAAATTGCTACTGAACAGTTAAAATAGGTTTGTTTGAGGCTTAAAATGTTTAGAGAAGAGGAAAGGATATTTATAAATATATATATATATATATGCATATGCATATATATAGATGTATAGATATCTATCTATATATCTATAATTTCTTAACTGCTTACATTTCCCTCATTTACAAAACTGATATTTCAGTTGATGCACTGAACAATTGAGATACAACTGGTGTGGTTGCACTCCTTAATCTCAGGATAGAGATAACAATTTTATAAATCTGTTAAAGTCAGAGAACACTGTCGGTATTCTAAAAATCAGCATCAATTAAATTTCTCTTAAATAATTTTTAATGTAAATTTTAAGTAACCCTGCAGGTACACATTTTCCTCACTTTTGGTGTCTTGATTTATAAAGTCCAAACCATGAGTCTAGAATATTTACATCATTACGTAAAATGTCCAAGTAAAATTTTTCATCTTAAACAATAATAAAATGATTTTATTACATTATTGCAGGATTTTACAAAATATAATCCACATTAAATAAAAAGTGGGTCTTTTTTAGCTCTAAATAATTAAAGGTTGCCTAAACTAGTGGGTATAAGTAGACGTGATTGCAAATATGTAAAGGAAGTCCAAGTTATTGTACATTTTCATAATTTGATGTGAATTTCATACAGAGCGAAATTTCACCATTATGAAAATAAACATTTTGTTCCTATCACTGAGTGAATATTTGTAACTTCTATTTAAGCCATTTGTAGATTTTTCTTTTTATCCTCTGAGCTTGTGGGACTGGTACCATTTTATCGCAATGTCTCTTCTTGACTTCCATGTATGGCCCTACTTTTCCAGTGAGAAATGTATCCTTAGAAATAATAGAATCTTTTAAGAGAAATGAATACATATATCAGCCTGTCATAGACCTAACTAGATATTGTCTTTTTAAAAGGCAGGTTACCATGGAGTAACTTCTAGGGAAAAATCAGATTCCTTGTACATGTAACCCATGTCCAGTTTAAAACATGCTCTAGTCACGTAAAAATGGATGCTTTTGAACAGCAATTCATTCTTTTGTTAGTCAGTCCTCAGTTGGTAAAATACATATTGACACAGAGTGTAAACAACTTACGTCACTATTTATTAAAAATGTTAAATTGTACATTTTCCATAATTTCTTCCTTCATCTTAAGAGAACTTCTTTTGTGAGTTTAAAGTGAAACTAGACAAATGACTTAATGACTAAAAGCATTGGTGATCTGGCCTCTGCCCCCCTACCCCAATCCAACATTGTACTTCAAGTGTGTTTGTCTTCATTTCCATATGGAAACACTGAGTGATGGGGAATCCTGGCAACATATGATCAATGGATTTATGTAAGGCTCTTTTTCTTCGAGTCTAAAATGGCCTTTCTTGTGTAGGGATGTGCATTTTTAACAACCATGTAATTCAGCTTTCCTCAACTCTGCAATTAATGACATCTGAAGTCAGAAAATTCTTCATCGTTGGGATTGTCCTGGGCACTGCTGGGTTTGGCAGTATCCCTGACCTCTACCCACTAGACGCCTGAAGAGCACCCTCCAACCCCACCCAGTGTGACCATCAGAATTGTCTGTAGACATTGCCAGATGTTTTCTGGGTGGTAAAGTCACCCTTGTTGAGAACCACTGATGTAAATTGTAGGAGAAAATTTCTTTTCTGGTGTTACTTACATCTGAGTTTGCTTAACTCATTTTTAATGGGTATCCAGATTTCATCGGGCTTTCAGAAATAGAAAAACATACAACAGTCTGTTGGACCTGTCCTCGTGGTGATTATACATGGTTTCCTCTGCATTTATATTTCTAATGGCCTAGACAAATAAGAACCCAGTCCTCTCTCATTGTTAAGGGTATTCTGTGCCAAGCCAGATTTCACATGCGTTTCCGTTCCATCCATCCCAGCACTCACAGTTTCCACAGCTGCATATTCCATTCCCTGCAGTAAAATACACAGGAGATTCATTATTATGATTGAAATATACCAAGTTAATATGTGTTATTATAAAACATAACTGTTCATAATCAAAGCAATTTCATTCATCCTCTGAAAACTTTCTTATTGTGCAGCCATCTTATTATTATCTTATTAAACAGCTATAGGAAATCTGACCTTTTAAACAATTAATGGCATCTCCTTGGTGCTACCATCCAGTTAGTATCAATCTAATAATGACCATCAGTATCACTCCAGCTGGGCTTCCATGAATAATTTTGTTTTTCTGTAGAGAGCAGGTTATGTGTAACAATAAATGCTAACGAACATACCGCTCCTTGACATAGGATGAGGTAGGCTGAATAATTAGCTAGAAGAGGAGCCTTGTGTAGTAGGAGTGGGCAGAATGTGAATGTCTATCTTAATGACACACACATACTCATCTTTTACCTTTAGTTAAAAACAAGGAGAATAAATATATGCCTCTATCTCCCCTATACATTGTTTAAGAAAATAGTTTAATTACCAATTATTAGGACTCAGAAACTCAGCATAGCAGTATCTATTATATTCCTAAATTGTTTTCCTATTCCCATCCCCCCAACACACACATATTCCATTCCCTAAAAACAAACTAACACATCAAACAGCTTTGGTGCCTAGGTCCTGTTTAAAATATATTCTAGTCCCTATTCCATGTTAAAAGTGAAATAGTTGTCAAGAGAATTATGTTCTTTCTGCAATATATAAAACTGCATATGTGTAAATTGGGGGAAGTTACTTTATATGGAATTTTCCTCCAAATCATATAATTTGGGTGCATACTTTTATGCCTGGGAATAATGTTAGTGCTTATTCTGAAATGCCCACCTCCCTTTACGTACTTTATATTACTATTTGGCCCTTCAGCACACGAAAGCTCTCCTGCCCAGTGACCCACAGCAAAATGTGCTGAGTGTCATTCACCTTTATTGCAAAATGTGGCATAGATCAATTAGAGTGGGTCAGTACTGCACCTGTGCAAATGAGACCATCATGTTTGTCGCAGTCCCTGTCATCACAGTCGCAGAATTCCCCTGAAATGTACCATTCTTCAGCAGAACAAATGCACTTTCCACAGTGACAAGAACCTGAAATCACAAAGGGTATTATTGATCGTTACCACACAACTAAAGGTTTCTGTCTAGAGTAGAATACTATCAATGTACCGGCAATCGGCTTCTAATAACCAACCTTCCAAAGGTAAAAGTTTATGGAATAGCCAGTGGCTTAAAAGGGAGCGTTACTTACTGTAATACATAAAGGTTATCCTGAAAGGCTTCATTATGGATCTAGACGGCTGCAATTAGCCTTGAGCAAATGTTCCATGGCTCAGTCTGGTTGAAATGTCAATGAGGGCGGAATGTGGCTGATTTTTATAGATGGCCTTCTAAAAAGGTGTTCAAAATATATGTGTTTTCAAAATTTTTTTTTCTGAATTGAATCATGTTTCAAAGTGTCTGTCTTTTAAAGGAATTGAATAGTAAGTTCTATTAAATGAGGGTGCAATTTATAATTAAAACAACTACTAAATTTATTGTGCTTATAATTTTGGATTTTTGATTACATGATTTTCTTAAAGTAAGGACTCACTTGCCTACTGGGTGGCTCATTAAAGTGCTAAAAATACACATACAATCACTCATGTATATTTACCTTACCCAGTTTCACCCTTGGGATTTCCCGCCACCATCCAGGAGAGCTCTAATCCCTCGCCTCAAATGTCCATCTTTTATGAGGCTCTTGATCCAACCACCTTTTCCATTACTTCACTCATTTCCTCTCTTTTTACTTCCTACCTAATTCAAAACTTCCTTTTTTGGTTATTAAAGATATTTTGGCTTGCTGAGAAACAGGTTTATTAATGGCACATTTAGAAAAGAAAATATAGGAATTAAATAGTGTCAGAGAAGAAATTTCCCTCAGCCTAAACATCTTCATGTGGCAAAACTACTTCTACAATAGCAGTAAATAAAGTTTTCAAGTTAAAAATGAACACAAAGAATAGCTTTCTGCTTCCTTCTATTTCCTTGGATTGATTGTTCTTTCTAGATGTGATTTCCTTTTACCAAAGATGCCTATCACCTTAAATGACTGTGAAGTAGAAAAATTATTTTGACATATTCTATAAAATAACAGACTTGGTAAATTCAAAATATATTGGGAGGAGGCAGAAATCAATCATTAGTGTCTCTATGAAACATTGCAATTAAAAAATGGTTAGAGAAAGAAACTTTTGTGCACTACTGCTATCATGAAAGGATGCACATAAAGGTGCCCCAGGCATTAAGCACCCCATGATATTTTATATTATGGAAACTCATATATGCATTTTAGCTGCAAGAATCCCCAATGGCCAAATTAAACTTTTGATATTCCTTGTCACACTTCTCAGGGTAAGGGAGCAGTCAGAATTAGTTACATGGTGAGAACTGTGTTTACATTTATTAACTTCTTACTTAACCGCAGCATGGTTCCATTTACTTGTTTTACTGAGGGGCGAGGTTGCAAAATAGATAACTTCCCGTTCTAATGAGTGATCAGCACCCTCCTGGTTGCTTAGGGCCTGTAACTGGGCCTCCCAGGCCAGTCTGTGAGAGTTGGTCATCTCACCCAGGCACAGTGTTTCTTTATTTAGAAATTTATTTATTCTAATTTTAAAGACTTTCTGTCAAATCTCTAGGCACAGAAATGTTCAACAGTCATCTGTGCATTTTGCAAATGGATAGAGCAATATTGGAAAACTATGAAAACTTGGGGCATTTTAATGACTTCATTAACATATCCTCAGAAGGTATCATATTTAGTGCTTTATGAGTGGAGGAAGATTATTTGAAGAATTCCACTGTTTTTGTTTCTAAAATACTATCTCCCTTATATTTCAAACTTGTTTCTACAACACATGGAGATGTAAATGACTTTATATGTCCATGATATTTATGTATTACTCCAGGGATATAATTTTTTTTGCCACAATTCATGAAAAAAAAATCACATTTCATCTTTAAACTTGTCCCCTGGCTCTAGAACTATTCTGATCACTGTTCTCACTTCCAATGCTTAGCTTCAGGCCATTGTATAGTATTTCCCTAAAACTGGTCAGCTCAGCTAAAGTGAATATACATTGCTAGACCATTTGACAAGTAAATGCATTTTCAGAAGTCTGCTAGTCACTGAAATACTTAGAATGAAAAACGGGGGTTGATTTTTGTATGTGCTATGAAAAACTAGCTTCTCTCGTCAGCGTTTTCCCCAGCTGGGTTGTTTTTTTCCTGTTTGTGAATTCTCAGTGCATCTCAGAGGTAGGAAATTCTTCTACTGCTTGTGAAACTAGGAGTAGTATGGCATGTCATAATAACACAGCGTGGTCATTAATAGGATGTTTTATAGCGCCTTTGTTATAGAACAACCTGGCTGTTTTCATCAATAAGCAGGGGTCAAATTGCCCTACTCTGGAAAGGGAAAATCCTAGGAAAAGGATTCTGTCAGAAAGATATAAGCCACATGGCTGCCAGGAGGTGATCGATTATTCAGCTCAGCTGGACCAGCACCCACTCGTGCCCATGAGACTCTGTCCAGCCTTAGGGAGAAGCTGGTCCATCTTGGCAGGAACTCTAGGGTGGTAAATTCCTGACCACAACACCACTAATCCATTTATTTTCTTTCTCAGTATGAGGACTGTTAAGAATGCTTCCATCTCCCTTCTGTACTTTTTGAGTGGCTTCCATTCCTTGGGGATTCAGCCACATTTTCAGAGCATCCTTAGAACTTAAGAAAGGGAAAGAAATGAAATTCTTCTGCCTTCAAAGATGAGAAAATGGACATACAGGGAGGATAATGGAATTGCCCAGGGCCATGGGGGCAAAAAAAGATTTCCATCCATTCCATCTACTGTTTTACCTACCTAGCTGCCTATCTGTGATGCCTCTCACAAGAAAAACCTTCATATAGTTTCAAAAAATGAGTTGTGTGTTCCCATTGACAGTTATATTGGGTGAGGCAACTAAAACACGGGTCCGAGTCTGGTTTTTGAAGCCTAACTTTTACCCTGTTTCTTTTCAGGGATGAAGAATCTGCCAGGATGGGGTATAGGTAAGGGATAGGTGAGTGGGTGGGTGTGTACCATGGACTTATTCGGATGATGTGGGACTCAACAGTGTCTTTGTAAGAGTTCTAAGGAGACATTTAGTGACATGCAATTACAGCCATCATCAGACAACATCTTTAAGAATACAGAGATGATGACCCGGAACTAGAAAGGTGATTATGTACTCTTGGATACACATAAATACTCAAGCAAACAAACAGCCGACGAATTACAGCATGGATTCTGCAAAGGGAGTTAAACCTGGCTCTAAGCTCATCTCTCTGGTGATTCACATGAACAGCTTGAGTGTAAGGGCGAGCACCCTTGTCAGCTGCCCCATTTCAAAGTGGACTTTCTTTTCCATTCATCAAGCCTGACAAAATGCTGCAACCAACATCCCAGCAGGCAGTTTCCACTATTGTATTCACAACTCCATCTGTTATGAAGGTCACAGCAATGTATCTAGTTTTAAATTTTTCTATGGAGTGATTTATTGTCTTGGCTATAAATTTGTAAAGAAATAAAACGTTATTTCTTTATCATCTCCTGAGGTGACGGCTTTATTCACAGATCATGGGGAGCGCCTGGTGGAAACAGTTGGGTACAGGCTACCAGGTGGTGACCTCAGGCCCACTGCTCCTCCCTGTCCCCTAGTCGGAGAAAGAAAAACACTCCAACGTCCTTTGTGAAGATCAGGGTGAGGGGTTTTCATTTACTATGTTGAGGGAAAGTATATGGAATTCTGGCAAGTCCATAAAACCTATTAAAAAATACCCGGCCCCAGTCAAATAACTTGGAATAGGTTTCTCTGCTACCATGTCGAAACCTGTTGTCTATTTTGTGAGTTACTCTTTCTGTGGTTCTCTTTTTGTTTTGCTAATTCTCACCCAAGGATTGATTTTTGAAGAGAGTGGAAGGGAGGGGAAGAGAGAGAAAAAAGCATTGATGTGAAAGAGATACATCAACTGGTTGCCTCCTGCAAGTGCCCCGCCCTACTGGGGCTGGGTTTTAAGCCTGCAACCAAGGTACATGCCCTTGACTGGAATTATACTTGGGACCCTTCAGTATAAGGGCCAATGCTCTATCCACTGAACCAAACCAGCAAAGGCTCTTTCTGTGGTTCTTGAGGCAAGGGGTGGATGGTACCCTCTAAGGAGACAGAAATAACAGCTGCATCCCCACAGGTCTCTGTGCCTATGGGAGAGCACAGTTCCATGGGCACCGTTGTAATCCTGTTCTAGAATCAAGCACTGATGACTCCAGAGTAAGTGGGAAGAAGCCAGCAGTCAGCGGCTGCAAACAGAATGCCCACCATCCTCTCTAGTGCCAGCTTCAAAGCACACAGCCTTGAGGCAGCTTTTACATCCAGTCTCCTTTTGAAGATCTCTCCCCATTGAAGGATAAACAGTTTAAAATATACGCTTTCAACCCATCATTGATCTGCAGATATTATTCCATCACCTAAAGCAAGCAATTTGAAAAAGGCATTAGCTAGAGAGATTTTCTTGTTTTGTTTTGAGGAAATGCCTTTGGGTTCATTCCCTTTTGGGGGCCTTTTCGATATTTAAGATGCTGAAAATCTCTCCTCAGAATGTAATGACTTTAATGAGAATGTTTATTTCTTGAAAACAAACTACTCCTCTTTTTTGCATGAAATTCAGCGAGGAAATGACAGAATGGTATTCACCACACAGGTGAGCATGGCTGTGTGTATATGTTCTCCTTCTGTACCTGCAATTGAACATGACTAGCAAAGACCTGCTTATGAACAATGTTAGTGATTTTATAGTGTCTAGGAAACACACACACACACACACACACACACACACACACACACACAATGGCTAATTTTTAAAATAAACAAGCACACCAATGTTCTAATACAAAAGTTCCATTTAGTAGAGTTTCTCAGAAAAGCTAATAGCCTTATTCCAAGGATAATGCCGTCATGAAAACCAACAACAAAAGTATCTAAACGCTAGGGCTCTGTGTTTGAAGCTATACTCAGGGAAAAAAATAACTCTAATTCAAACAAATTAATCATTCTGAGCACTTTTTTATACACAGGACACTCCCTTCTGACCTGATAACATTTCTTTTTCCTCCCCAGCTTCCACCTTGATGGTTAATTCTATTCCTACCACCTTTACTGTTCTCTTTGTTAATCTCTTCCTTGGCAATCCCTTCCCTCTGTCTCTTCCTTTCAACCTTTCCTTCCTCCTCCCAACAGAGCTTCTTTTTTCTTTTAAAAAGATTTTTTAAGTGGATTTTAGAGAGAGAGGTAGGAAGAGGGAGAGAAAGAAAGAAACAGCGATATGAGAGCAAGACGTCCTACCTGGGATAGAGCCCAAAACCCAGGCATGTGCCCCGATTGGGAATCAAACTGGCAACATTTCAGTGCACAAGAGGATGCCCACCCAACTGAGCCAAGCCTGCCAGGGCCAACAGAACTCCTTGAACCTAAAGCAAGTATATCCAGGACCTGAGGGCCCCTGAGAACTGAAATGCTGAGATTTGCTTAGGACTTGGAATTAGCATGAATTCCATACGAGAACAAACAGGGAACAAAGTGATTGCTTTAGATGCATTTAAGTGCTGCTTGGCTGCTGTGATTGCATTCGGTGGAAGGCATGGCCTCCTTGCCAGAACTCTGTAAACACCAGTCTCAAACACAGAATTCCTGGAAACCAAGGACATGCTCGGATATTAAAATGAACATGTTTGTATCCATTCTCAGCCTTCCTCCTGGCACCAAATGTGGTCACAGCCTCCATCTGAGTTTATTTTTTGCAATTACGTCAAGAGGCCTCTTTCATCCGGAGAGCATTGGCCTTGAGTGATCATCGGTAGCGACAGCCACTGTTGAGGGGCACATCCCTGAGGCGAGTTCTGCTTCTGAGGCCTCCTCAGCAGCTTGACTTTGCTTCACTGTGTTTTCTTCAGAAAGCATTTACCTGCACTCCTGACCCAGGGTAGATGTTGGAGGATAGATGTAGCTTCAGCTATAAAAGTCTGAAAAGGGGGGTGGTTTGTTCTGTAAGGAAGCAGCTGAGCGGAAGAGGAGAGCAGGAGATTGACATTCAGTTCCAGGCAGGGCAGCTCCCTAACATTTAGTGAGAATCCCATGAGCTTCCAGAGCATTTTATGCAGACCCGTCCTGGGCTCTGCTCTGTCACAGGTGAACTCAATGATTGTACCTCTACCTTTTGGGGCCCATTCAGGTCCCAGCATATCTTATTGTTCTTTCTTCTTTATACAATTATTAATTGCATTTCATTCACAATGAGGTTGTCTACAAGTGGCTGAGGATCTTTTCACATGCAACCCACCTCATGCACTCCATTTCCTTGGATACTAAGCCTCACGTGGTTCACTTTCACACTAATAAGGTCCGGTACAAGCAGAGGACAGAGTGATTTTCATTCAGGCAAAGTGCGGCTTGAAAGGGATGTTTGCCGCGGGCTGCGGTACAAGCCATGTGTCCCAGCAGGGATCCAGGCCAAGCTCCGGCAGAGAGACTCACCCTTTCCGGAGCACAGTATGCCATCTGCTGATTCACACAGACTCTTGCTCAGTCCCTCCGTCATGTTGCACTTCCTGGGATGTTGGCAGAGCTTCCCGAACCATCCTCTCTCACACACGCAGCGGCCACAGGAACACGTGCCGTGGCCTGAGAAGCAATCACAGGGCGGGGAGAGAGGAGGAGATGGTAAATATCAGGCTGATTGCAGTGTTTAAGGAAGAGATATGTAAACCACAGGCTCTGGTTTCCTATCCAGCAAACACACTTTCCCTTTATGCATAGTCACTGGGCTCGTGACTGCTGAAAAGAACTTCACAACAAAGTTCCAACTCTCATAGTACATTTGAATGCAGCAAAGGAGATGGATCGAGAGAGAAAGAAACCTTGAAACAATTTGACATGGAATTATACCATCTTTTCTTGATATAAAATACGTCATTTGCGTTTTTTAGCAGTATGGGGTCTCGGTGCTTTTCTTCATGGTGCACACCATGATACCCAGACCAACGGACAAGGCTAGTCACTTGACCGTTGATGCTGCATTTATTGATTACAATCCTACTGTTTACTAATCAAAATAAAAGATCAATTTCCATAAGAAGTTAATGGCATCTGGTATTATATTTCCTTATCTGTGTGCCTCTCTACTTATTAATAAGAACAGATCTAAGTGTAAGTAACCATGTCTATTGTTTTTTTTTTAAGTTTGTCAATTTATTTTATTTTTTAATAATATATTTTATTGATTTTTTACAAAGAGGAAAGGAGAGAGATAGTTAGAAACATCAATGAGAGAGAAACACTGATCAGCTGCCTCCTGCACATCTCCTACTGGGGATGTGTCCACAACCAAGGCACATGCCCTTGACCGGAATCAAACCTGGGACCTTTCAGTCCTCAGGCCGACGCTCTATCCACTGAGCCAAACCAGTTTTGGCCATGTCTCTCTACTGTTGTCTACAAATTAGAAACAGCATGAGGCTTTGATTCATGTCTTCAGCTTTTTTTTCCCTTTTGTTTCCATCATTGACTCCTGATTTGGGGGATGTTTATCTTTTGGCAACATATATGACATTGTATTTATGGCAAGTATGCATTGGCTTACACATCTGTCTAGCTGCTTGCTACCAATACCCCATTAGATTGCACCATCTTCCTAAAATGTTTCTTGTTTCCAATCAATGCTTTATCCTTTTCAAAAATCCTTTTCTAATATGTGTATTACCTTAGAGCCAGATCTCTTCAAACAGGACAAACAAAACAGCTATTTGTTTGGCTGCTTTGAGTCTTACCGAGTCTCTATTATGAACAGAGCATTTTGCTAAGCACCAGGGTTTGCAAAAGCAAGCATCAAGGACACAGTTGTTGTCATTCCAACTGCTCAGCCCTCTGAACCTGTCGACACCATTCTGTCTTGAACATTTGCTGTGGCAGGACTTTCAGAGTAAACCTATTCCATCTGCTTCCTCCTATATTCAGCTTTGCACAGGAGGGATTAGGGGACAATGCTGAATATTTTGCAATTTGTGGTCATGATAATTTAACCTAAACTCCCACAAACTCAGGTAAGTTTTTCTATAACACATGATCATCTGGAAGTTCATGGAAAGCAAATGGGAGGCAAACTCAAAAGAGACCTAGATTAACAGACCTATTTCCAACAGCCTCTTCTTATCCCTATGTTGTTTTTACTAAATTTAATCTCAGAGCCCTTTGATTCGGGTATCATCTCCATTTTATAGTCAAGAAATTAAGGTCCAGAGAAACAAAGCAATTTTACCCCAAAGCACATAGCTCAACCACACAGAATCAGACCTTGATGCCAATTTCTCTGATTTCAATGTCCACTCTTTTTCCGTTGGTTCACATTGCTTCTATAGTTCATGATTATCAATTTGAGACAACTCGAAATCTTTTCTTAATTGCTATCTTGTTTAGCTGCTACATAGTTAGAAGGCATACTTTGATATTCATGGGCACTTTCTTCTTGAAAAGTGTTTCCTGTATTGGTTTTCATGACATTAGTCTCTCCTTATCCTTTCAATACTCCTCCATTGTTTATTTATCCTTCTACTTTTTTTCCTGATCTAATTAATGTAGGCATCCCGATTGTCTACCATCAATCATTTTTTATCTCTCTATAATGTCTCCTTTGAAAAATTCATCACCTCACATGGTTTCTGATAACCTCAATGATCACAGGACTGGACCACACCTGTGATTCCATACTTTATGTACTACTAGCATACAAAATTGATACTTCTCAACCTGCATATACAATTTCCTTTCTAAAAGCTCCTCTTAGGGCATGAGTGGGGGGGATGGGGGGGTAATGTGGGGATAAGGACACATATTTAATAACTTAATCAATAAAAAATAAATAAAATAAAAGCTCCTCTTCTGTATTGTCCATTTATTTTAATGATATAACTTTCCTTTCAGTCAACCAGTTTAAAATGTTTTGAATCACATTTGAATCCCTGTTACTGCCCTCAACAGGTCCTGTTGAAACTAACTCCAACATATCCACTCATATCACCATCATAAACCTTTGAGATACCTTCCTGTCATGTCTTCTCCAATATTCTTGCTCACCGCTTCCTATTACACCACTCTACTCACATCATAGCCTTCATATCTAGTGCTGTATGACTCCCCAATATTTATGATATGAAGTGCACCTACTATAACTTTCCTTATGTTTTAGGTTCCTGAAATAGAATGCCAAGCTACTTTTCCAACCTTATAATCTCTCCTCTTCTCCCCTTGCATATACCTCTTGATCTTACCAAGTTGACCTATTCCTTCTTCTCAATGTATCCCCTGCACTTTTCTGACTTCATACTTTTGGTAAAAAATGCTGTCCTTCTGTTCCCCTACTTCACACATCCAGTTCCTGCTTAATTTTTAAACCTCTGTGAAAACTTTTCTAATACTTTCAAGGGGAATTCGTCTTATCCTCTGAATTTCTGCATCACCTTATTTCTCACCTCTATGGTGGCACTGGTTGTCTTCCACCTTGTAGGATGTAGTTTATGTGGTTATTTATTAAATAAACCTATTCCTTGACTGTGAATTCCTTGATAGTAGGAATCACTTCTAACAATCAGTGTAGCCTTCAGAGTGCCAAGCACACTGCCTTAATCTTAGCAGATCCTCAAAAGACTTTTAGATTGAGATTATTTTTTAAACAATATCTCCTCATTTACAAAATTAATCACAACTTGGAACTGTAAACTGAATCCAGGACATTTTTACAGGTCATCTGGCTAAATAACTGTCCTTTAAGACTAATGGACAGTTCTTGGATGACTACTTTATTTCTACATTCTATAAATTGGAGTGAAGTTAGAGAATTGGTGTTTCATAAGAGCTACACAATTGAGGGAACCAGGATGGCGGCATAGGTAAACACCGGAGATTGCTGCCTCGCACAACCACTTCAAAAATACAACTAAAAGATGGAACGGACATCACCCAGAACCACAGGAAGGCTGGCTGAGGGGAAATTCTTCAACTAGAAGGAAAGAGAACAGCATACCAAGACTCAGAGGAGGTGCAGTGCGGAAAATACAAAGGTGCGGAGGTGCGTGCAAAGCTGGCTGGCGGCTGAGGGCGCAGTTGTCTGTTTCAATCAGGAGGGAGTCTCAGGCTCTGAGCTCCAGTTCTGGGCGAGTCTCTAGGGACCCAGACTCAAACGGGAGAAGCGGGACTGTCTGGCTTCGGTCGGAACTCGAAGGCAGTTTTCTCGCTGAGGTTTGCAGCGGTTGCTAGGATTCTGAGAGGCAGAGCCTCTGGGGACGGGACTGAGAGCAGCCATAACTGCTCCCTCCACTTGCCCTGTTGATCCCGTGCAACCCGCCCCGCCCAAGCCCTGCACAGAGGCATTTGCCGGATAGCCTCAGGCAAAGGCTAGATTAGCACCTCCCCAGAGGACAGAAGTTCTCTCACTGCAGACACAGCTGATTCTCACAGTCAGTTGGCCTGGAGGTCAAATCACCCCCAGTATTACCCACAACAATCAAGGCTTAACTACAACAAGACTGCGCACAAAGACCACTAGGCGGTGCACCAAGAAAGCATAAAAAATGCCGAGACAAAGAAACAGGACAGAAATGACAGAAATGGAGGATATAGAGCTCAAAACCACACTTTTAAGGTCTCTCAAGAACTGTCTAGAAGCCGCTGATAAACTTAATGAGATCCTCAAGAAATCTAATGAGACCCTCGATGTTGTGATAAAGAACCAACTAGAAATTAAGCATACACTGACTGAAATAAAGAATATTATACAGACTCCCAACAGCAGACCAGAGGATTGCAAGAATCAAGTCAAAGATTTGAAGTGCGAAGAAGCAAAAAACACCCAACCGGAAAAGCAAAATGAAAAAAGAATCCGAAAATATGAAGATAGTGTAAGGAGCCTCTGGGACAGCTTCAAGCGTACCAACATCAGAATTATAGGGGTGCCAGAAAATGAGAGAGAGCAAGATATTGAAAACCTATTTGAAGAAATAATGACAGAAAACTTCCCCCACCTGGTGAAAAAAATAGACTTACAAGTCCAGGAAGCGCAGAGAACCCCAAACAAAAGGAATACAAAGAGGACCACACCAAGACACATCATAATTAAAATGCCAAGAGCAAAAGACAAAGAGGAATCTTAAAAGCAGCAAGAGAAAGAAACACCATTACCTACAAGGGAATACCCATACGACTGTCAGCTGATTTCTCAACAGAAACTTTGCAGGCCAGAAGGGAGTGGCAAGAAATATTCAAAGTGATGAATACCAAGAACCTACAACCAAGATTACTTTATCCAGCAAACCTATCATTCAGAATTGAAGGTCAGATAAAGAGCTTCACAGATAAGGAAAAGCCAAAGGAGTTCATCACCACCAAACCAGTATTATATGAAATGCTGAAAGGTATCCTTTAAGAAGAGGAAGAAGAAGAAAAAGGTAAAGATACAAATTATGAACAACAAATACGCGTCTATCAACAAGTGAATCTAAGAATCAAGTGAATAAATAATCTGATGAACAGAATGAACTGGTGATTATAATAGAATCAGGGACATAGAAAGGGAATGGACTGACTATTCTTGGGGGGGGGGGAAGGGTGTGGGGGATGGGGGAAGAGACTGG